TCTCTTTGTGGTTCTATACGCATGTGTGTAGGGTTTTTTTATTTTCTATTTTTGAGGAAAGGTTTACTAGAGTTATCAGAAGGAGATGGGCCACCAAACCATGACCCATCAATAGGTGACAGCAGCATGGATGGTATCAATGTATCATACAGCTGTAGGGAAAGAAAGAAAACAACCAGATCTGCTATCGCCATGAATATCTCCATCAACTACTTTTGTCTACCTTTGATTTGGTCTGGTTCTGGTGCCGTCCAAAAAAAATGCTGATCCTTATCAATTTATATATATGTACTGTACCTTCACGATTGGAGATCACTGACCGATCACATGTCCAAAGCCATTCTATTATATATGATCGCTCCTACGTGCCCATTGCTTACACACTTGGAACCCCAGTAGCAAAAGAAGAAAGAAAGAGCACGGTATGGAAAGGAGAGCAAGAAGGAAAGCCAACAACGTTGCGGCTAAAATGGCTGGTGAGGAGGAGGTGTGGGTGGTAGAGTAGTGATGCCGGCCGGCGACACATCGAGGAAAGCGCTGCAGCTCTCGCCACTCGACCTCATGCTAGCCAAGAGGTCTCACTCCAGTCGTCCGCTTCTACCGGCGGTGTACCATCGACGACGCCTTCTTTGATGTGACTAGTGATAGATTGAGATATTGGAGAAATAATTGTTGTATTGATTGGGGCCTCAAAGGCTGTTTATATAGATTACAAAGCTTGGGCTCCAAGACTAGACTAATAGAGATAGATTACAATACGAATAGACTTATACTCTAAGATCCCCCCGCAGTCTCAACGTCAGGTGAAACAATGTTGAGACTGGAGCGTATGTCGGTGAACGATGCAGTCGGGAGTCCTTTGGTAATAATGTCAGTAAATTGGGCACTTGTAGGAACATGAAGAACGCGAACCTCGCCAAGAGCCACCTTTTCACGAACAAAGTGAATGTCAATCTCAATGTGCTTTGTGCGACGATGTTGAACTGGATTGGAAGCCATGTAGACGGCAGAGATGTTATCACAGTAAACAATGGTAGCACGTGGGAGCGGACGATGAAGTTCAACGAGAAGTTGCCGTAGCCACACCACCTCGGCCACAGCGTGAGCAACCGCCCTATACTCAGCCTCAGCAGAAGACCTAGAAACTGTTACCTGCCTTTTTGAACAACAAGAAACAAGATTATCACCCAAATAAACGCAAAATCCGGATGTAGATCATCGAGTATCTGGACAACCTGCCCAGTCTGCATCAGAATAAACTGTCAAGCTTGTAGGTGAAGAAGAATTAATAAGGAGACTGTGATCAAGAGTGCCTTTTAAATAGCGGAGAATGCGTCTGACATGAGCCAGATGAGGAGCACGAGGATCATGCATAAAGAGACAGGCTTGCTGAACAGAATAGGAGATTTCAGGACGAGTAAGAGTGGCATATTGAAGAGCGCCAGTGATGCTACGATATAAAGTGGGATCAGAAAGAGGATCACCATCAGCCGACAGTTTAGCACCAACGTCGGGTGGAGTACGAGAGGGTTGACAATCAGACATACCAGAACGAGAAAGCAAGTCCAAAATGTATGACCGTTGAGAAAGAAAGAGTGAAGATTTTGTGCGAGAAACATGAATACCTAGAAAATGATGAAGAGGACCAAGATCAGTCATGGAAAACTCCCGATTGAGAGAAGAGATGGTATGTTGAAGAAAAGAATCAGAACTAGCCGTGAGAATGATATCATCAACATAAAGCAAGAGGTAGGCAGTGTGAGTAGGAGACTGATAAACAAAAAGAGAAGAATCGGATTTGGAGGGAATAAAGCCTATGGTTTGAATAAAAGTAGCAAAGCATTGAAACCATGCATGAGGAGCTTGTTTAAGGCCATAAAGAGATTTGTTGAGGAGACAAACAAAATTTGGAGAGGAGGGATTCTCAAAACCAGAGGGTTGCTGACAATAAACAGTTTCATTGAGAGTGCCATGAAGAAAAGCATTTTTAACATCAAGTTGATGAATAGGCCAAGAAGAGGAAACAGCAAGACTAAGAACAACACGAATAGTGCTTGGTTTAACAACAGGAGAAAAAGTCTCATCAAAGTCAATACCATGCTGCTGGGAGAAACCACGACACACCCAACGAGCTTTGTAATGAGCGAGAGTGCCATCGGAATGAAATTTATGACGAAAAACCCATTTGCCAGAAACAATGTTAACACCAGGAGGTTTGGGAACAAGAGTCCATGTATTATTTTACTGAAGAGCTTCAAATTCATCGCGCATAGCGGAAAGCCAGAGAGGGTCAAGAAGAGCTTGCT